TTGCCGGACACACACACAAAAAAAAACCATTATTTGAAAAACAAAACTCTTCAAAACCTTCTCTTTTTCATTATCATATTGTTATTCCCCTTGAAATTTCCAAGTCATTGTTGGCTTAGTGTTTCCCTTCACCCCAGACAATCAATAAATGTGTTTCTATTGAACTTTCTAAACATGTCTCTTTACTTCCCCTCCCACACATTCTCTTATCTGGTCTCCTCACCTCTCATTTCTCCCTGTTCTAATATATTCTGTACATTTGCTGCCATAATTTCAGTTTCTAACAGCACTATTCTGATCACATTGTACACACTGCTTTAAAAACCTATCGCTGGGCCGGCCCGGTGGCGCACTGCTACAGTGCGCCGCTTGTGAGCGCGGCGGCGCTCCCGCCGAGGGTTCAGATCCCACATACAGACCGGCCACTCACTGGCTGAGCGAGGTGCGGGTGCAACACCGAGGGATGCGATCCCGTTGCCGGTCCCGGTCCGGTACGGGCGTGACACTGAGGGTTGCAATCCATTGCTGGTCACGAAAAAAGACAAAAAAGGAAAAAAAAAAANTATTGATACTTCTATGAATAAAAATGATCAGAGTAAGGACTTAGGGAAACATTGGCAGGGAACTGTCTTAAATAAGGTAACTGGAATGGTCTTTCTATGGAGATGACAATTGAACAGGTACTGAATGGAGACTTGGGAGTAAGAAATCTAGAAAGGGATCAGCAAGTGCAAAGATCCTGAGGTGAGAAAGAACTTGGTGTGCTGATGAACAGCAAGGCAGGTGTGGCAGAAACAGAATGAGACAGAGAGTGATAGAAGACCATATCTGGGAAGTGGCAAAGGCCCAATCATGCAGAACCCCGTGCAGGCCATGCAGGTGAGCTGGGACTTTGTTCTAAGGGATGTGGGAAGGCCCTGGAGTATCTGGACCATGGGAGGGACGTGATACACTCACCATTTTTCAAAGACACTCCCTGACCTAGCTTTTGCATGTCTAGTTAACCTCCTCTTCCACTAATCCTTTTCTTTTTTTTAATTGTAAATTGACAAATTATGTATTTATGGGGTACAAAGTGACATTATAATTTATGAATACAATGCGGGATAATTAAATGAAGCTAAGTAACATATCCATCACCTCAAATACTTATTTTTTGTGGTGAGAACATTTGAAATTTACTCTTAGTGATTTTGAAATGTACGATACACAATTATTAACTGTATTCACCACACTGTGCAATTGATCTCAAAAAAGACCTTATATCTCCTGTCTGACTGAGGCTTCTGTCCTTTAATCATCATCTCCCCATTTCTCCCACCCCTCAGCCTCTGGTAACCACTATTCTACTCTCTGCCTCTATGAGTTCGATTGTTTCAGATTCCACATGTAACTGAGAATATGCAGCATTTGTCTTTCTGTGCCTGGCTTATTTCAGATCATCTCATTAGATACAGAAAAAGCATATGTCAAACTTTAACATCCTTTCATGACAAAAAAAAAAAAAATAGGTAAAGAAGGAATGTACCTCAGCACATAAGGACCATATATGATAAGCCCACAGCTAACATTATACTCAGTGGTGAGAAATTAAAACCCTTTCCTCTAGAATCTGGAACAAGACAAGGATGCCCACTCTTGCCACTTCAATACAGTACTGGAAGTCCTTGCCGGAGCTATTAAGCAAGAGAAAGAAATAAAAGGCATCCAAATAGGAAAGGAAGAAATGACACTGTTACTGTGTGCTGACAGAACCAATCAACAAATTGAGTAAAGTTGCAAAATACAAAATCAACACACAAAAAATCAGTAACATTTCTAAACACTAACAGCAAACTTTCTGTAAAAGAAATCAAGAGAACAAACCCAGTTACAAAAGCTACAAAAAAATAAAATACTTAAGAATAAATTTAACCAAGGAGATGAAAGACCTGTACACTGAAAAGTACAACATTAATGAGAGAAATTGAAAAAGCCACTAATCTTGTTCAAATCCATCATGCTCTAGCCCAGCTGAAAAACTTTTATTTTCCAGAATCTACCTATTTGTTCCCACTGCTGTGCAGCTGGTCACCTGTTTCCCCTCCCTGCATCACTCTCTTTACTATTTCTGCCTCTCAGAATGTTACTTCTCCTTCAAAGCCTAAGTGTGATGAATCTCCCCGATAAAGCCTTCTTGACTCTTCAAGCCAATAATAATCAATCTGTTCCTTTAATTCCCATAGCAGGTTATTTGTGCAGCCACCGTAATACTTGTCTCACCCTATTTTATGTTTTAATTATTTGTGTGTGACATGTCTCCCTTACTACACCATAAATATCTTAGGATAAGAACGATGTACCTCTCCTTTTTGTTCCACTACAAATTCTAATATGTGCATTACACACACCAGATCTTCAGGAAATGCCTGCCAAGGTAATGAATGGACAGCCTTAATTAAGATAAATTATTGTTTTGTGTACTGATCCAGTCCTAAATCCATGGTGCTATTATTTCTGTATCGGTGATGGTTATCCACTTACTTAAATAACCTTCCTTTGAACACACTTAGAAAAGATTTAAAAAACTGTGTTATAAGAGAAGAACAAGTATGTAGGTTATTCCTTTTCTTAAACAAAGAGAAGTTCTGTTATGCGTCATGGAAAATTAAAACACAGTAATAAAATGCGCCAAGACTTGTTGAATAATGATTTAGTGGAAAAGTTGCTTTGCCTCCTGTGCATAGGTCCTAACTTTCCTCTCAAGTACTTAAGCTGCATGTTCTATTTATTTTGTTTTTAGATTACATTGACAACTATTGGCTATGGAGACAAAACTCCCCTAACTTGGCTGGGAAGATTGCTTTCTGCAGGCTTTGCGCTCCTTGGCATTTCTTTCTTTGCACTTCCTGCCGTGAGTATCTTTGCAACAATACAGCAGTTTAAATTAGGTCTTACAAGTTTACTAGAGTGAGTTCTCACAACTTGGTATGCTTGGGAACATATCTTTATCATTTACAAATGTAACTGTTCTGATATAATGTTGACTTTTCTAAATATATCTAGTTGGATAATTTATGAAATATGGTCTTCCCTTGGGGACACTTCACCTAAGACCTAAACACTAGCTAGGTCTTTATGACCAAATAATAATTCAGATGGCATCACCTTTCATTCAACATACTAGTAATTCATTTAAAATATTTGTAAAGATTTAAAGATATCTTCTTTTTAATCCGATCACTCCAATTTGGTTTATAATGTGTGCTACCAAAGAGATGGATGTGCACAAGTGGAGTATTTTCTTCTTCAGATCCATTCGAGTGAAAAGCATATGACCTTAAAGGGTTTTAAAAATGTGGGATGATTTATTCTTTGTGTCATCATTGATTTTCCTCAATGAACAGTTTCTGCATCTTATTAAAATGAAGAGCACATTTATCTTCCCCTAAGCTTCTGATTATTCTCTCCTTAATGGATGAAGCTTGCCTTTCTGGTCATTTTATCCTCTTGATTCTTTAAAGGCAACTGGTCAAAATAATAGAATCTGCCCCCATCCCAAAGCTTTCACTTTTGCCCACTGTACCCAAGGTGGGCTGAGGGAGACATCGAAAAGGAGTGTTAAGGCAGTGGCAGCAGGTGTGCTTAAGAGAAATAGCCTTGGCCTTGCACCAGACACAAGCCAATGCTGTGGCAAAACCCCTGAGAAGCAGAGGCCCCAGAGCACCTCTCCAAAGGAAGCCAAGGGATGGAGAGGTCAGATAGGGACTTCCAGCACCACAGCTTTTAGCTCACAGGGCTCCTCCTCTGCCTGTTAACGAGTGCAGAGGATGCTCTGTGCCCAACTCCATATTCATCAGCTGGTTCTGCCCCAGAGCACTCAAAATCACAAAAGACCAAAAAGACCATGCCTATGCTTGAGCATTCGACCTCAGTATGAATTCTGTTTTCGTCACATATTAAGTTCGTGACTGTGTTCTTTTGCTAGGGCTGCTGTAACAAGGTACCACAGACTGGGTGGCTTAAACAATACTAATTATTGTCTCACAGTTCTGGAGCCTACAAGGCCAAAATCGAGGTGTTGCAGGGTCAGTTCCTTCTGAGAGCCGTGAAAGAAGGATCTGTTCCAGGCCTCCTCCTTAGCTTGTAAATGGCTGTCTTCATCCTGTCTTCGTTTCATCTGTGTCCAAATTTCTTCTTCTTATAAGGACACCAGTCACATTGGATAAGGGCCCACTCTAATGACCTTATATTAACTTGATTACCTCTATAAGAACCCTATCTTCAAATAAGGTCACATCCTGAGGTGTTAGGGATTAGGACACCAACATCTGAATTTCAGAGGGACACAGATCATCTCAAACAGCAATCTTGGGCCGGCCTGTGGCTCACTCGGTAGAGTGCGGTGCTGATAACACCAAGGCCCCGGGTTCGGATCCCATATAGGGATGGCCGGTTCACTCACTGGCTGAGCGTGGTGCTGACAACACCAAGTCAAGGGTTAAGATCCCCTAACCGGTCATCTTTAAAAAAAAAAAAAAAAAAATAGCAATCTTGAGTATATTTCTTCATCAATATAATGGAGAAAGAGTTATTGTGCCCAGAGAAATTTTGTAAAGACCAGTGTGGTAATGTAAGTCAAGTACTTGTTATGAAGAAAACATTCAATATAATGTCCCTTTACCGGTATGAATCTAGAGACACCTGCTTCTTGGTGCAAAATGATGAAAACAAAGAGAGTCAAAAAAAGTCTCTTATCCAAAGTCAACTCATCTGACAACCTCAACAATCCAGAACAGAGAAGAGACTCACTCAATAATCAGATTCCCTGCAGGAAAATACCTTTAGAAATAGTAAAATGCAGTCTTGGGGTTTTCCCCAAAATAATGGCACAAAATACCTGCTGCTTTTGTATTTATATTTATCCTGAAGCCATGTATATAGCAACCTCTGTGATCCAGCAAAAACTACAAATGAGTAAGTAGCCAACCTCTGGGGTGTTAAAACAGACAATGATGTAGGTGCGCCTCATAGGAGCTCTTGAGACCTAATTCATAACCTGGTCTTAGAGAAGTTTCTGATAAACTGACCTACGTAGTTTCACAATTCTTTGAAGATCATAGACAGCAAATGTAAAGGGAGGCTGATAGAACAAACACTACCACAGGAGGATATGGTGAAAGACTAACAGCGAGGGAGGGAAAGGAAAATATGTAAGAAACAAGCAGACATAAGTGCTCAAATTGTGTAAAGACCTGGGCCAGTTAGCTTTAGTGTCAGTCCACCTCTGGAAGCTGACTTCATCCGACACAGGGAAATACTTGGTCCCCGTGATGGAATTCTAGACCATCACAGGGAGTTAAACTCTGTGGCCGTGGCAAGCAGACATAAGTGCTCAAATTGTGTAAAGACCTGGGCCAGTTAGCTTTAGTGTCAGTCCGCCTCTGGAAGCTGACTTCATCCGACACAGGGAAATACTTGGTCCCCGTGATGGAATTCTAGACCATCACAGGGAGTTAAACTCTGTGGCCGTGATAGGTTACATGTCAGAGACTATGTAGTTATTCTTGGAAGTGTTTCCAATAAAGTGATTACAATTTTTTATATGCAAATTAAACTAACACGTGTTGGAAATCTGAAAAATTTGCTTGCACAGAACAGAACATTTCCTAACAATGCCAAGAAAAGTAGCCTCTATTATGGCTCTTTTTACTACAACCTCACAGCAGGTGCTGAGTTTTTATATATTGAATGAAAGACTAAATGATTGATATATATCTTAAGAAAAAAAAAAAGAAATGTCTCTGGAAATATCACCATGTCCTGTGCACCCACTGGCCAAAGTGTTGTTCTATTGAAATTTAGAACACATTGGCATTTTGCTGAGAAAATTAGATGTGGATTTATAGGCTACTCTTGTCTGGGGTTCCTCCCACCCAGGAAACTTGAGGACCAAGAAAGAAAAAAACCTTTCCCCATTTTACCCTCAAAAGAACGTTTCCCCATTTTTCCTCATTTTAGTCCTCCTGCAGGAGGACTGTCCTACACATCACAGATTCACACAGGCCACACTGCCCAAGCTCCACCAGAGGGTCACTTCCTCTGGGGCCCACTCCATCCTTGGGCTATTGAGCTGGCAGAGGTAGCCCCACGTCCTCTGTGTCACCCTGATGAACAGGTCTTTCTCCTCTTTAGACCACTCCCTTCCTTCCGGCTAAATAATCCTGCTAAGGATATCTTCTTATTGATAATGAAATTGAGTTTTGTAAACATGGAATTCCTTGAGACATCTAGCTAGTAGATTCAGTGCAAAGACTCATTCTGTTTAACTTAAGATGTTAACCATTCAATAAATAAATGTTAGCCACTGTAATCATTAGCAATGCTAACAAATGTAATTATTGTATATAATAAAATATTAACAACTGTTAAAAAAAAGTATCTTTCAGCATAGCCTGTTTGCCATGTGTGGGGTACAAATTAGGCTCATTTAATCTGGAAAGTAACCAGGAGTAAATATGTTTACCAAAACATATTTCCTATCTAATTGGTATTTATTTAGGACTTCTCAGCATAGTACAAAAACTTAAAACCTAAACATTTGAATCTTCTTACCTTAGAAAATTAATCAAAGCAGAACTCAGTTTCTAAAAATTTGCATATATTCAAAGACTAAGCCATGTTGTGTGTTGTGTGTGTTATGCATACATATAATAATAGACTTAATTTTAACAGACTTGTATTTAGGTGCATTGAGCTGTGTAGTAAGAGAAAGGTGGAAGAAAATTGGAATGGAGCCATAATGAGACAAAGAGCAGGTCTGGTTTAATAACTACTGTAATGCACGGTCTGCTGCGAGAGATATGTAGCAAACATTTGCTATCTACTAATATATGTTTCTATGCAATGCCAATGTGATTTTAAGCACATTTTAGTTAGTTTGGAAGATGCTAAATTTGTGCTATGTAGGGCCTGTCTTCATTTTCCAAAAGGTATTTAACTCTGAACCTCATTCACATAGTAAGTGCTCAAAAGTGGTAGCTATTGCTGTTAATTCAGTGTCTACAAAATCTGAATTATGTTCCATATGAGTGGATTATACACACATATGCGCATAATATATGTACGTATAATACAAAGATACTTCAAAAAGTTCGTGGGAAGATTTGTATTATCTTTCCTAATTGACTTTAAATAGCAGGAAAAAATTAGGAGTTACAAATGACTGGAGTTAATCTGGATTTGGAGATGGAGTGCCATTTTTTTTCTATAAGAACCTACTTTATTACTTAGAAAATCAGAAACACAGGTTTTGGCAGTGGTCACAGCACCTAATATTCTTATAATTACTTACACTCCCTGTACCTGCTTCCTCTCACATTATATAAATGTACTGATTCTTGACTTGGTGCATTGCAGAGTTATGAAAATTTATAGCATAATACCTGTGAAAATTTTCCAAAATGAAAATCCTATACCAACGTATAAAAGTATCATTATTTTTCAAACAAATAAAAAGGAATTTAAGAATTTAGATGTTGAACTTAAACCAATAGTATAGAATATAATTTTATTCTGTTCTAGTCATAACCTAGCAACATAAAGACTTAACTAAATTACCAAGGGCTTGAGCATATTTATATGAGGTACTTCAAAAATGTCATGGAAAGATTCATATTATCTATTAATTCTATTTTTCACAAATGTTTGGAAGTACCCTCATATTCACAGACCACTTTTGATTTTGAACTATCAAGGTCTGTCCTGTCTTTATATTTCCTTGTAACCCTAGTATTGAGCAAGTTTATTTAAATGAGCGCCATGGTGGGTGAAAACTATCCAGTTGTAAAATGGTGTAATAATTCACTTACATATAACATTATATTGCATTATATTATTATATTGCATGTGCATATACACTTAGTAAACCCTTTAACTTGTATAAATCTTTTCATTAAATTAGACTTTCACACTTGTGGAGAGCCATTTTTATAACCTCTAAACGGAGGGAAATGTTGTTTAAATCTACAACCCAGACCATAGAGACCAATTTTTTATAAAGCTTATATACACTTAGTAAACCCTTTAACTTGTATAAATCTTTTCATTAAATTAGACTTTCACACTTATGGAGGGCCATTTTTATAACCTCTAAACAGAGGGAAATATTGTTTAAATCTACAACCCAGACCATAGAGACCAATTTTTTATAAGGCTTTGTTTGTGCATTCCCAACCTATGTGAGGCGGAGATCTCAGACAACATGAGACTGTCACTGAAAAAGAGATGGAAAACAGAACCTACAATGTAATTTCTAATTTCATGGTACAGTCATTTACACTAATTAATAATTCACTAGATCATTGCTCATTAATAGCAAATAGTATTATTATATAATTATTTTAAACATGATTGCATTACTTATTGTCTGGTTATTGTAACAGATGCACTCAGAATTGTGCAACCCCTAGATAAGAAGGAAGGCTAAAGGCCATCTAGAGCTCAATATCACAGCCAAGTTGTCATCCAGCCAAGACTTAACACCTCCTAAAGATGAAAAACCCACCACCTCTCCAGGCAGCCTATAACATCTTTTGCTTCAAAAAAATATGAAGAAAAGAAAAACAACCATTCCTTACCTGTGGCAAATACTGACTTACTGCTTATAAAATGCTCATCTTTAACCTAAGGATTAGATTCCTTGAAGTTTAATTAAAAGCTAATCATTTGTAGCTAGCAAGTAAAATGCACAAACTTGAAAGCAGTGGAGCTTCAAATCCTATGCCCATAAAGTCAAGAGTTAGAGACAAAGCCCAGAGACTGAATTTAGCAAGCACTGAAAGCCAACCCCAGGCTGAGACAAAGCTGCTTGATTTCACAAATGTTAGACCAAAGCAAACTGAAAAGAGGGGGGAACATCAAAGAGCCAGAATTTTGGTGGATCAGATGATAAGCAGAAGGTAAGCAAAGTAATCAAAAAACTAATGTAAACATAGGAGGAGATACTAATCTTACCAACACCAAAATCTGAATAGGTGAGACAAAACCAAGAAGGTAAGGGATGCTGAAAGTGTGGGATTATAACTGAGGAGAGTAGGAATGTTTTCTGCAGTGACCCATGCTCTTGTCTTCACTCTACAAACAGGCAAAATGGAAAACCTTCTACTGTATATCTTTAAAACTGAGCATCTGTCTCAGCTGGATAACTGTCCCCCTCTCCCTTTTACTTTTACTTTGACAGGTGTAGAATTATAGCGCCATGAAGGACTACAGCAGGGACAGATTTTAAACACTCCCCTCTCCTCTATTTTATGGATGGAGAAAATAAAATTTCAGAGTTTCATTGAAGTGCTAGAAGTACTCCCTTGTCCACAGCAGCAAGACTTTAACTCTCCCAAATTTAAAATCCAGCTTGGTGCAAAACCAGAATTCATGTCCTCCAAATTCCATCCCTGGGTAAGACCAGTCACTCTAACTTAAGCATAAAGAAATGTCATGGAGAAAGCCACACAAAGAAAATTTTTTTAATTGTGATTTTTATTTATAATTATGGTGCCTTTTACTATACCACAAGAGAATAAATGGTGATGCCTAATTGATTTACAAAAGAACAGAAGTGTTATAAATATTGACCAACAACTTGCCATTGGCTGATGGTACTATAATAGATATAAACGGTATTTGTTTTAATAAATCTATGTTTGTGGACAGGTGACATACTATTTGTCTTCTCTTAGACCATTTTAGAGTTTTTTTAATATTTGTATTATTTAACAGTGCTTTTGAAATTTTTTTAAAGTACTATTTTTGTCTTTTGTTCCAGGGCATTCTTGGCTCAGGTTTTGCATTAAAAGTACAAGAACAGCACCGCCAGAAACACTTTGAGAAAAGAAGGAACCCAGCTGCCAACCTCATTCAGGTAAATGTCAATGTAATAGGTAGATGGCAACATCTGTCTCCATAAGTACTTGCTGGGTCATTTTCTAGTCTCTGCACTTCATTGCTTCGTAGATGAAATCGGAACTTAATGTACAGTCTTGGATTTGGTCAGGAGTTTCCGTCTCCCAAACAGAAAAGTATATATTTTCAGCAGTGTACATGCATTGTTCAGATTAATTAACCATGTCAGCAAGGCCATGCAGAGGTCAGCTCCCAGAATGACTAATATGTCTTATGAATTACTTGGCGAAACATAATTGATTAAGCGATGGAGCAGAATATGGCATTGTTCCCTGCATTATAATTACTTTCTCCAGCCAGATGTATAAGACTGTTCTGAAGAACAACATATTTGTTCAGAATGTCAAAGTTTAGTACCTGTGGAATTGCTTTTAATGCCATCTAGGGCAACAACTTGAAATGTTCATCCTATTTTGAGAGCTGGTATACACCAGTACATAATACATCAATGCTTGAGAATGTGAAACAGTACCTTTTAATGCCATCTAGGGCAACAACTTGAAATGTTCATCCTATTTTGAGAGCTGGTATACATCAATACATAATACATCAATGCTTGAGAATGTGAAACAGTAAGCATATTATTTGAAGCTAGCTCCTAATATAGAGGTCATTATTTAGCATTTCATTTTGTTTTNGCATATTATTTGAAGCTAGCTCCTAATATAGAGGTCATTATTTAGCATTTCATTTTGTTTTCAATAACTCAGGATTTGTTTCAGCACTAACAGGAATGCTTCTCCTTTTGCCATTCATATCTTTTGGGAGTAGAACCATCCTAGACCCAGGTTAAGAATCACAAAATATTTATTTTGCTAGCTCCATAATGAGGAGTTGTCATTAAATTATGGACAAGATAATTCTACAATCTAAAGTTTCTTCCCTTCCTTCCAGGCAGTAGTAGCTTCAGAACTTCTAACCTATAGGGACTTGGGATGGCGATCCAAAGCACAAGGAGACTTGTCTTTATGCTGAGTAACAAGCACGTTTTCTTAGTTTAGACTGTATGTTTGAGTGGGTGGGTTGGTAGGAAATAATCACCATGAACCCTATCCTTGGCCTTTCTCTACGGCCATGGTATGCGGTACCTCAACAGAAACGAAGCTAGGGATTCAGTTATACAGTGAAGAAGATCTATTTGTAGCTAATGACTAAATGAAGATATTAAGTTTTACATCAAGCTATTCTGCAACTATTGACAAGAAAATGGACCTTTGGGCATGACTTCCAATGCAAACCACTGAGATTCTCTATTTTTTCATTTTCCAGGTTTTAATAAAAGAACATTAAAGAGAAAGTACATTTTATTTTCTTAAAGGAAAAGATTCCCTAAGTAGTAGGAGTTGATGATCTGATGCCAGTACTCTCACTTATATGT